CCCCCCCTCCCACCCTGAATATATTTTCACCATTTCCTCAATTTTTTCCAACATGGAAACCCCCAAGGAAAATCGGAACCCCCACAGATAGGTCTCTGGATCCGCCACTGCGATAGGTTTAAATGTAGCAGATATTAGTTAGATTTTAGTCGCAAGGTGACAAAACTGTGGACATCGGTTGTGCAACACAGTTAATTCCGACGATGTGATTTTGTCTGTTCCCATCAGGTCTTAACTTGTATTTCTATTCATGATCCTGAAAACGCCTCAAAGGTTTTACCAAAATGTTGGGATGATATGCCCTGTGATAGGTGCATTTGGCACAGTATTTTGGGTGGTAGCTCTCTTAAGTCGGGCTTCATTGAGTTTGTCATCAATAGCAATGTGTGTTATAGGACCATAACAACATTTGCTAAAACATTATTGCTTAAGTAGCACATCATAATTGTCAGTTTGTTGAAGCACAGCACATTCCGCTGTTGTTACTCGAAGGTTTAAGCTTAGCACGTGCTATTGTAACATGCAGGTTAAAACGTCATATATGCTGTCAGTTTTAAACATGAGGTAAAACTGTGCATAGATAACATCGCTCTAAATGTTATGTCGGATTTTTTGGGCGATTCATGTGACATCTTTATGTGTCACCTACAAACCAACATTAATGTCAAAACACGTATTTGTGATGTGTCGTGTCATTAACACATTCTATCTAATGACCTTTAATCATTATCATTAGTATAGCTCATATTATAATAATTCGGACCTTCCCAGATAGGACGATCATTCTGTGCTATTTATCTATATTACCGACAGTTATTGCAGTTATTGACGATAAGGTCACTTTGTTGTTTTTGTATTTCAATATAGGCTACTTATTAGTCATACGGAATCAAAACAAAAAAATGCATTCGTGTTTATATCGGTAATGATATACAAATTGTTTTTGAATGAGTGTTGAGAAAATATTTTACAGCAGAAATAAGTCTTCTTTTTAATGATTTTACAAAAGACCTTCTTGTGTCTAGACGTTCAATCTGACTCATTTTTGTTATCGGATATTGTTACAAAAGTAGGTAAAATCTAGTTTCGTTTTATTATGTATAGCAAGTTAAGTTCACTTTCTCTGGCTCTCTGTATCGACATACTTGTTTATTTAATAAATGCTTCCATCTTCGATTAATAGTGATTATTCATCAACATTTTAGACCATTGCATCCTTCTATAGTTTCATTATAAAATACCTTGATCCGTATTAGAGCAGTATTGTTGTGGTATCATGTTATAAACAAAAACAGATTGACTTTGAATTGTTTGTACTTACAAACAAAATAATAAATAAGTAAATAGATCAATAATAATAATCCCTGTGGTATCTTAAAGTTGAATATTTCCCAAGGGAAATCCTGCAATAGATATATCTATACACATGCACCATTGACGTGAGTTCAAGGAACATTGGTTTAGACAAGAGTCGGTTATATATATAACATATATATCACATGTCCTTTTCTCCATCACTTAATCCTAAATTCCGGTGAATATACTATTTTCAAGTAGAAGCATTTTCTTGCAGCATTGTTTTACAATAGTTCACTTACCTTTACGCGGCCGTTTTCGGTTCGTTTCCATGACAATCGTATTTTTCTCGTCATCATGTGAATCACGATTTATAAGTAGATTTGCCTTGCAACAACAGCTTAAGGCGATTAACAGAATCAGAAGTCGGCACATTTTGGTATGTCTTTGGTAGATTATAACACCACACTGTCTTTATGATAATATCAGAATATGACAGAAATATTCAAACTGTGTTAACCCTTTGAGTCCTAAGTAAACTTAAAATGTTCGTACTTTTATAGAACAAAGATGTTGGAACAATCACCAGTGCGATTGTTTTCGTCTCTTACAGGACTATATACGCCAACAAGCGTTCAGCTTGGTTTGTTAGGCTACCTGTGTAATTACTACACGAGTACTCCACTCCACCAGGCTGCTGTCGTGTGCGTCGGCAGTGTGGCAGGCGTACAGGGGTATGAGGATTCCTGCTGACACCGCCCCTCTTTTATACGCCTGTCACAGAACGGCGTATTATAAACAATGATCGAAACACAATAGGGACAGTCCGGCTAATAGCTTTTCGTTTTTTATTGCTTTATTTGCATGCTTATTACGGATTATGTTTATGATAATGTGATGTAAAAGTTATAGGTTTATTAGAAAACTTACATACTAGCCATGTTCATTACACACCTATCTCATTAGCATAAAATTTGATATAATTTTCGATCTGTGCCACATGCCATATAGCCATTTGCAAGGAGGATTTAATTAATCCACGTCCCTCTAAATAAGATGCATAGTATGTTTTAGCTAGTAAAATGACATAGTTTATCCTTTACACATGACTGTTTCATCACTACATTTACACACCATGTTTAAATTGGTTGATTAACATACCCTTAATTTTTAAGTACATTTAATTAGTATCTATATATTATACTTCTGCTAATTGATATCAGAGATTCTTTTTTGAAAATTAAAGATTTATCTAATTCCACACTTCAGAATGTTGGTAAACAAAGTTTTGTTTGATTTGATCTCAAATTTATTTATAAATAGTTCAATCCGAATGCCTGGGGTTTCATTTAAAAACACGCATTTACGGATATTTTGGTATGTAAGATTTTTTTATTTTTTTTTGCTTTATTGCACAATGTAAAAAAAAAACACGATAAAGAAATAAAAGACTAGCTGCCTAGACCAATGCAATGTGTGGTTCAACATCATCGGGTTCCTCAGTGATACTTCTTAGCTTCACTGCAGACGGACATAGACCTCCACTACAGTGTGTTAAAGTAAGTGATTTGTCTGTCACAGCGTTTTTATATGCCTTCGTCAAATACACATACCGAGGTTTTAATTATAGTTATAAGTTGTGCCTAAATTAACTGAACAGGAAAGATACATGATATTGTCGAGATTGTAGCAATAATGGCCGTGTTAATTATAAAAAAAACTTAGCAGTGACGTGCTCTTACATCGTAAAAAGAATGATGTAACTGTTGGTGATTTACCTACTTAAGGTCGCCTTGCCTCATAAAGGCTTAACACTAATTCATCCTAGCCATGGTATGTTCTTTTTAAGGTGGCTCCACACATCGTCATCAGCGTCCATTTTCGTGACGTACTTCCGGAAAAAGTACAGCTCGGACTCAAGTATCTTGATCGAAATGTGCATGTACACAGTGTCGTCATTTCCGTATTGCGTATCGGGCATTCAATATTGTAGTGCAAATTATACTAACACCGGGGCCGTTTTCGTTTAAACGGTCAAACCGATCGGACCACTGTTGTTCGTTTATTAAATAAGGTCGGACCTAGTTATCTAATGCTGCTTTCAGGCGAGCCCTGAGAAAGCCTTACAATGCCTGCATACACATTTGCAGGTCCGCCAGGATTTATACCCGAAATTGTTACATTTATAAACGGTCAAACCGTACAAATCCGTACAAATTCAATAAAAAACGCTTTGTGTAGCATGTGTTACATATTTTGCGATAAATAAAATATTTGTAGGGTTAATTAGAAATGCTTCTTTTCTTTTTTTATTGTTGTTATTGTTCCGAACAATGCCACACACACAAAAAATCCGGAAAATATTGAAATTGGCGAAAATTCAATTTTTTGGTATTTTTTCCAAAAAAGTCCCCAAACTATCGGAATGTTTAGATTTTCATAAAATCAACTCTACATAGTTGCATAACCATTATAAGAAAGTTTCAACAAATTTTGCTCTTTATTGCGAAAGTGTGGAGCCACCTTAATTAAATTAACTCAATCGGTTAAAAAAAAACGATGACAGCAAAGGCAACGAATTAGTGTCCGCCAATGATTTGATATGCTGCTTATTAACGCTATGTTTATGAAAATCCAACAAATGTAACTAAATATTGCATGAATACAATCATGTTTACAGTCCTTTTATTTGTAATCAAAAGCATTGATAAATAAACATACACAACTGCCTAATTATGGAATGTTTATAATAACATTTCCTTATATTGCCCGAATTTATTCAGCTACAGGCCAATCTGAACTAAGATGTAGATTTATGTCTTTATTGTGTCTAATCTAGTGAGCTAATGACTATTCCTGGCCAACATAGCCTTGAGTAAGGCTAGTTGACCAACACTTTTTGCCGATAGGGTGACCGATCAAAGTGTTGTAGATGTCACATACTCATACAGCTCTCTATTATCATAACCGTGCCTGGTGACATAACGTTATCACTAACATAACGACTGTATCGGGTTGTTTTGTCCGGAACGCTACAGTAATCAGTCTCCTATGACAACACTTGAAAATAAGCATGTCATCATACATTGTACACAACACAACGATGAAACGTTTAAGAACCGATTTTGATTTCTAACTTTTTGGCCCCATCCCATATGAGATCTAGAAGGACGAAACAGGGGTATAGTGCAGTGTTCGTCATTTCTGACCTAATATATCTATTACCGAATTTCGAAAATGTAATCACTTGTGTGAGTCTTATGTTCGTCTTGATAGCAATAGAACGTTCATAAAGGGGATAGATTTTCATGACAATTTTATTGTCGACAATTGTATGGTGAACATTTTATTTACGTCCTAATAAAGATTTTTCAGAAAATGTTAAAACGTTATTGTTGTCGAGTACGGATTACGTAGTTTTATAACAAATGACAGCAATGAAGGCTAACTATAATTTCCATTTAAAAAAATGATTAATAGAATACATGAAGGGGCGCACGCACCTCTTAAAATATCTAGTAAACTGACACAGAAAGCCAAACACGTAATCAAACGCTGAACCCGATTGAACGCACGCGCACGATATGGTACAGAAATAAAATCATCATACAAGATATCTGACAGAGAATATTTTGATATTACTTAATAGTGATTGTGCAAATAGCTTCCATTATCAACAAATTATCACTACCACTGATATCGCTGATATTTCATATATGTAGGTAACATAACGCTCTAATGCTTTACCGAATTTAGAAACCGCCTGATGATGTTGGTATTACGTTTCCTTTCGACTTTAAGATTTCCTTTCAGTTGAGTTATAATTAGGATATCATAAATCGTCAATGTGTTTCTATGTGAATCAAGATATTTCAACTTTTCAGATATCTTTAGACCCCGATAGCCCGATTTATCGATGTATTTTTATTTTCAGTCCAACGTGAACATGAAGAATATACAAATATTAGGCTCAGTGACCTTATATAGACTGTGTTTAGCAGGTCCACACGTCAAATGATGAATTTTGTGGGAGGTCAAACAGAAAAAACAGTGCACGTACATACAACTTAAACAATGTATACCTTACACAATTAAACAAAACACTGTCGATTTTTACCGCCTTCATTCAAGGATGAATTAATTGTGTTAGCTTAAAATCTATATATCAAATAGTTAGCATAAACAAAATATTGCAATATGTTTTAATCGGTGTTGAAAACGATGAATTTGTATCAAATGACACAACTTAGATTTCAGTTTTGATGCTTATGAAAATATTCGAGATTCAAATTTAATCGCTGTCTTTAAATTAATTAAGCTAGACACGTGACATTGTTGTGTTATTTCTTACCTTGGTGTATGATATCTCACCTAGATACGTCACTACATTGTATGATATCTCACCTAGACACGTGTTTCTGGTGTATGCTATCTCACCTAGACACGTGACTTTTTTGTATGATATCTCACTTAGACACGTGACTCAGGTGTATGATATATCACCTAGACACGTGACTCTGGTGTATGCCATCTCACCTAGACACGTGACTTTGGTGTATGATATCTCACCTAGACATGTGACTTTGGGGAGTGTATGATATCTCACCCAGACACGTGACTCTGGTGTATGATATCTCACCTAGACACGTCACTACATTGTATGATATCTCACCTAGACACGTGTTTCTGGTGTATGATATCTCACCTAGACACGTGACTTTTTTGTATGATATCTCACCTAGATACGTGACTCAGGTGTATGATATCTCACCTAGACACGTGACTCTGGTGTATGCTATCTCACCTAGACATGTGACTTTGGGGAGTGTATGATATCTCACCCAGACACGTGACTCTGGTGTATGATATATCACCTAGACACGTGACTCCGGTGTATGATATCTCACCTAGAAACGTCAATACATTGTATCTGATTAAACCTAGTCACGAGATCCTGTTTGTATCAGATCTTAACTAGTCATGTTACTGCACTGTATCGGATGTAGCAGTCTCTATCTTGGTAACAGAGAACAACTATTATGTATTTCTAGAACTGATTAACATAATCATGTTTAAACATGAAATATGAATTGATCATATCGTCATAATTTTATAAAATGTTAACCTGAAACTACATGTATGGTCATGTTCTTTCATTCAAATTCATAGACATTTGATAATTAATACAAAACACTCATAGTTTTTGTAGATCCTTTCTAATACAACAGTTTGTCGACTTGACTAAAAGCTAATGGAGTCAGATTTGAGTGAGTCTATGGACCTCAATTGTTAGGCGTGCTAGGCTGTGTCCTGGTATTACGTAATCACGATTCCTTCCAAGGTTACATTGACTGGTTTTAAAATTCTGATTAGGATGTATATTTGAACATGTCATCACTCTAAAGACTATCTATATTCTGAACTGATCTTTACACATATCTACAGTGCATGTACGTGTATTATAGTACACAGGCACAGGTGTCACGAACGAATTTTGCTAATAAAAAATAATGACCTCATAAATGTTGTTTACAAAATAAAACTGCCTCCTTCATCTAAGCCTTCCTTACCAATTAAGAAATGAAGGTCACGATTTTTGTGTTCGCTTGATTTTCCTTATATAATTACAGTTATTTTACATGTTAACAAAAAGGTGTATGTATTACCGTACACCATATTATGTCAAAAAGGGTGTTGAAAGGTTAGTGTCAGTTCGTTTCTCTCGATTTTAATT